TTTATCTTCTTTGCGCCTGTTGCAACGGCCAATTTCTTACGCTCCCTTGCTTGTTGGTTCGAGGGTAGGAAGATTCGCCTTGAAAAGATGCCGGCGAGGTGTCGGAAAGGGTTTGCTGACAAGGCATCCGCAGTCCGAGCAACAGTTCCACAATTGAGTTCCAGGTGGTGTACTTTCCCCACCTTCGCCGGCCTTTGCTGAACACGCTGCTCTACCTTTGCACCGTCGGGCACCGAGTGAGCTTCGATTGCCATTGTAGTGTCTAGACTATGGAGCACACAAGATGTCCAGCTTCTTGCAAGGCCTTCTGGATAACACGTATCTGCTCAAGAGGAATGGGTGCATGGATGTCAGGAGGGTCCAGAGATCAGAGGGGAATAGCATAACGCGCTCATGTTTGCTGTAACCGTTGACACGGCGCTCTACCGTTGTCCTTACAGTTACACGTGATGCCATCCCGGCCTCGTCATTTACCAATTGAGTTTTCGCGCCCGTCTCTGAAACCTGGTCCAAATGAACTGGGGGATCTTGAATCAATCCTTACCGGCAGTCCTAGCTGCTCTTGAGTCCCTGGATCATCGGACACTCCTATACTTTAGGCACCTGACCTGGATTCGGAGGCAATTGAATCCGCTGTCTGAAGCTAGAATCAGACTGACCAAACCTGTCGAACCTGTAGTGCCTTGCTGAACAATCGGCCAATTACTGTACCCTCTATAGTGCCATCAACATACCCAGTCAACCCACTTAGCATCCGACCACACGTTCCAAACATGGAGTCGAAGCTGAGACCCTTGAGCCCCCAGCCGGTCTAACACGTTTTTACATGCGTCCTGTTTGCTTCTGACTGCCCAGATCATTGCACGAAGTCCAAAAGGGAGCAACGGGAAACACGAGACAATCGCGGACCCAGGAAGAAACCCTGGTGCTCTGGGCGAATTGCGACAAGTGCCCTGGTTGTTTGAGGGTCTGAAATGTGTGAGTCAAGCAATTTGGGAGTTTGATAGTCTCGGCAGAGAAAGCTGCACAATGCTGCCTGCATGCAGGAGGACACATATCCGCATGTCAATTACCGGTCGGGAAATCATTGGCCTTTACGCAAGGAATTCGACTGCTATGCACCAGCGGTGCTTTCCGCCAGCTTGCCCAGACAGCACCCCGATTAGCACGCGCACCTTGTACTTCCAAGCAGATGCTCGCATTGTTCCTTGGCCATGCCCTGTATCCACGGGCAGTCTGCTGCCCAGTCATCTCAAGTAGCATGGGAGTATGGGGTCATCCGGATGCCTAGTCACAAGTGTACAGAGCGCATATTTGTCCTCCATGTCTCTTGGATGCGGCCAGATGGGCCCGTAATAGCATGCGGGCGGAACCTTTGGAACAAGCCTGTCGTGCAGCCGAAGGGTTCCAGGGCAGACTATGGCGGCTTAAGAATCCTGGCGTCCTGTGGCAGGCAGCAAAATAAAAGCCAGGAAGGAAGCAATCAAAGCCGGAGGTATCCCGAGTACGAACCAGACCTTGACAGCTTTTTAGAGCTGTTGGAGCCCTTCTTCCAAATCACCGTGGAGGAGGACCCTGCTGCAAAGGCTTCTTTACGAACATGCTTGCTGCCCTAGAGGCCCTAGAATTCTGCAACTTCCATCACCGACCGCTGCCATGCTTTTCATGATATGACATTATCTTTTTGTTGCTACAGTGGATTCTGGAGCAAGCAGTGTGAGACGCACAACCAATTATGATGGGCGGTAGATGTTTTAGACGCCCAAATAGGGATTATCGGGATAATGTCTATATTGACGTACGTAATTCTGTCTGCAAGTTGTGAGAAGCGGCCCTGACATTGACATTGCATCTCAAGCTGCCTCGTCAACCTGAATAGCACCGGATGCACCCAAAGCTGAAGAATGATCTAAGGGTCTGTCAATCAGAAACAGGTGGCGCAGGCTGAGGGGAGCATAAGGGCAGGGATAAGTGAGTGTTGGAGTGAAAGCAGGTATTTTATCAGCTACGTAAAAATTATACATATATATATAATATATTTACACCTAAGCACATATGTATATATGGGGCATTTTTGCAAAGCCTTGGGAATGCAGCAATTTGAAACATACAGGAAGGGCCGCAGAAGGGATACGGCGGGCCGTGCGAGGTGCAGGAAGGCACACGGAATTGGATTCTGCTGCGATGTCGACATGTACGAGTTGTCGAGCTGCGGTAGTTCTGGCTTCTGCTATAATTTGTGTTAGCCTCAACGTACTCAAGAAGAAGCTATCGACTGCAAAGCCTTTTGATGGTTCTCTTGCTGTCTTGCTTTCCACCACGTTTGGATGTCCATCCACCAGACCAGCCTACTAGCTGGAGTAAATATGCTTAACTCCACGTAGAAGTTAGTCCAAGCTTCCAGCGTGGGAGATCCATACATAGCACCCCTTGGCAAAACCCCCCTTGTCATGTCAAAGTGTCGAGAAGGAGGACCCGGACGGACTGAGATCAACAGCAATAAGACTTTTATTTACATTCCTGAGCTCAGCTGTCTGCCTGGTAGTGCAAGTTCCGCAGGCATTGTCAAGATTCGTTCCTTGCGCATTTTAAACGCGAGCGCCTCAGCAACCATTTGCTTGAGAATCTCATTTGAAAGCACTGGGGATAAAGAATTCATAAATGCGGCTGAAGGTGACAACATTGGGCGCATGAATACTGCCTGTGCTACCGGCTTTGGGGGAATTCTTTCGTGTTCCTTGCGCCCTCATGTGATCTCTGTGGGATGGAACTCCCTGGCACTCTCGCCCTCTCGCGGACCTCCCTCCCTCTGAGCTAAGATTCTTGTCTGTTGGGGTGTTTCGCATCATCCTTCTAAGTGACCCTCGAACCCGAAGCTAACACAAAGCTGCACCAAGATGGACCTGGCTCAAAACGAGCTGGCGAGGGCGAAGGCAGATCATCTGGGCGGCTGATGCAATCGAAATCTTACCTGAAATTTACTTACGCAGTCTCAGATGACTTTAAACAGCTGTTTTGTCATATTGCAGTCCTAGGATGTGCTAGGCCTGAACTCGTGCATTTCCACATTTTCAGGTGGGGTCAGGTATCCAAGTTAAGGGCTGCTGCCTCTGCCGCCAAACAAACCAAGACAAGCCGTGGTAGCCCGGGCAGTGATCAAAGATGGTAGCAAACGCGCAGCAAGACTTTCAGTGACGGGAAGATCTTAAGGAAGCGTCAGGAAGGCAGGGGGCCAATGCAAACCCAGGTTTCCCAGGCCATTGGGGGTTAAAGGGTTGCACAGGGCGTGACTTCATCAAGCTTGCAACAGTTCGAAGAACTTTTGAATTGGTGTTGGGCTTGAGAGGGAGGTCCTCAAGACCTTTCTGATGCCTTTGGGAACTACAGGGGGGCTGTTAGCGGCAGGAATTTCAATCAAAAAGCACTGGTCTGGTTCCGCTGGCTAGCCCTACAGACCCTGGACGGACTGTGGTGATGGGGGCCAGGGCGTGGTGGTGTTGGTGGTGGCCCTGGGATGGGAGATAATGAACGTTTGTAAAACTACAGAAATACCATACATAGAGTTCCTGAACTTTTTTTGTACGAGAGAAAGGGGCGGTGCAGAAAGAGCGAGGCCGCGATGCTTTACAAATCCCTGAAGACAATTGTTCCCTGTTCCCTGAACATTGCGAACGTGAAGTCTGCGCATTCTGAAAGAGTACACCTGCAAGATCTGCTAGGAAAGCAGAGAAGGCCGGGGGTGGGCGGGGTGGGAGGATTGGAGCCTGCTTTGCCGATACCGGCGGATATATTTCACTATACGCCACCATGCTGGGGTCGCGGGTTTGAGTTTGAGAGGTGCTCACGCACCAAGCCCAAACAAATTGCTCATGATTGTTGAAACCGACTGGATTTCCAGTACATACTAGTATTGACGGAAATGTTGAGTGTGCATATCTGTTCTTCGCTGGTCACAATCGTTTTGTCTGTTTTGTTGCCAGGTTGGCTCATGCACCTATGCGCTCAGGGCCTAGAACGGCTTAATGCGCCTAAAACCAAGCTTAGAAGCCTTTAGGCCCCTCTACCAAGATACCCCAAAAGACTCCCAAGGTCAGGAAACCAATAAACCTGACGACGCAAAGACCTTAGAAGCAGCTACTATGAAACACACCCTAAGACACATAAATCCGGAAGCCCCGCACAACAGGATGTGGCGCGACATAACTAGAAGTTTCGTAGCCAGGTGGGCGGCCCAGGGGAGGCGTGTATCAAGCGCTGCTTCTTCTGAGCAAGACCTGCGACCGCGATCAACAAAAAATGCTCTTGTGGGTGACGGGGCTGCGTTGCGGTGGTTTTCTACGTAGGACGATGTCTTTCTGCTGTTGTTGTTAGCTGTTACTTGCTTTGTCGCCTTTGTCTGAGTGGCGCACGACTATTACCAGCCAGTGTCCCTCTCATTGGCGTCTTATCCTTTGTCCACTGCCACTCGACTTGGGTATGCTCTAGCAATTCTGGCAGCTGAACTTCTCGCCTTGCCCTTCGGCCTGACACACTTGTCATTGATAAGAAGCTCGAACTCCAGAAGCAAGAGTTGTAGTTATCAACGAGTGAGGTGAGGCAATCTGTTTGTGCAATCACTGAACACTGATTCAGGTGTTGTCAAGCATGATGAATGCGTGAAATCCCAACTTTCCAGTGAGTCATTCGAGGACGAGTCACACCCTCCACGGTTTGCCATATATGGTTGTTCTTGTGAGCCGTAGACTCATTGTAAAAAAGCTTCTTCAGAGGCGCCCTTGGATTATTCATTCTGACAGTAGAGCTTTTACTTGCTGCGATATCCCGGGATGCTTCGTAATTAGGCAAAATCTGAGACTAGAGGGTCTCCACATTGACCCCGCACACATTGCAACTTGCTGGGACTGCTGCGGAAAGGGCATTTCCACAAATCCTGACTACACGGCCTCATACATGTTTCGACCTGCCTGAATTTCTTCCAGACTTAGATCCCATGGTAGCAGGTGGCGGGCAAAGCGTGTTCCACGTGATCTGCGCGCACTTCTTTTGCTTTGACTGTGCCAGCCAGCAGTGCTCCCGCAATGTGTGTTTTGAAGGGCACCAGTCCAAAGGCAGTGGTCACAGTGCCGTTCCAATCGCTTATAGGTTGATGGCTCTGAAACGCTCCGTGATTAGGACGTTTATCTTGACGAACCCCCGGAGACTCGGCACGTAAGGCAAGCATTGCAAATGAGCAGCAGTTTATTTTTTCACGGTAGATGAATTATAAGTGTGCAGCACAGAAACTCACCAAATCATGGTCCGAAAACTAGGTTTTCCTGTGCGCGCGGAAGGACGCAGAAGCTCCGCGGAAGCGTTTCTTCGCGGAAGGGCTTGCGGAAGCTCAAGTTTTCAGAGTCCCTGGCTCTAAACATGCAAGTCGAGCCAGCCATGTCTAATCCCAACCATTTAACCACAACCTTGAAGCCCTGAACGAAGCCACTAAAATGCTTTCAGGAGCATGTCTTGGGCCTTGGGACCATTCATGCAAGTTATCCGAAAAGCATCTCGGGGCACATGGCGTTTGCGGAAGCTCCTCGGAAGTTCTGCGGAAGCCCGAACGTCAACGCTGGATCCATACCCATACCTTTGCTTCCAACATCCTTTCTTCCTATGGGAAAACCCAATGAGTTG